ATGCTTACCATCTTAGGGAGGAGGGAAGGAAGGGAGAGAGGTAGAAAATTTGGAACTCAAAAATTGTATTAAAAAAATGAATGTTAAAAATTGTCTTTACATGTAGTTGGAAAAAATAAAATACTATTTAAAAATAAAAATTATGTATTTTACTTTCATGTCACAATGATTAAAATAGTGTAAATGAAAACAGTACCAAAAGAATACCGACCTCTGATGAACCAATATGACCTCTGAATAACCAATTTCCCTGAAAAGAGATGACAAAATTTGCTTCTCTCTTGTTGGTACAGAGGTGGATGACTACAGGTATAGAAAATTGCATATGAAATCAGATGCTATTTTTTTGTTAATTTTTACTTAATTATTGTTCATTGTTACAGGGTTCAACAGGAGTAGGAGAAGAGAAAAAGATGTCAATAAAAAAATTTTTTAAGGGGAAAAATAAGATCTAAGTTGGTTGATTTTCTTATTTTTTTTTTTTAGTATATTGATTTATTAAGTAGCTGTGACCTTTAAAAAAGTCCAAGAGACATGATTCTTGGGTAGCCATCTTATTCATAATGCCAGCATTGTAATAAAAAAAAAAAGGACAGTGGTGGCTGGACCTATTATAATGAACTTTGAATGCATTTTAAAAAATTTTAATGCATTTTTATTTTATTTTTTAAATTAATTAATTAATTTTAGTTTTCAACATTCATTTCCACAAGATTTTGAGTTTCAAATTTTCTCTCCATCTTGTGTGCATTCTGAATACCCCTTCCCCTAATATGCCCTAGCTTCTATCACCCCCCTCCTCCTTTCTCTTATCTCCTTCCCCTTCTATTTTCCTGTAGGGCAGGATAGATTTCTATACCCCACTGCCTGTATATCTGATTTCTCAGTTGCATGTAAAAACAGTTTTTAACATTTGTTTTTAAAGCTTTGGGTTCCAAATTCTCTCCCTTCTTCCCTCCCCACCCAACCTCATTGAGATGGCAAGCAACTCGATACAGGTTATAGATGTGTAGTCATGCAAAACACTTCCAGAGTAGTCAGATTGTGAAAAACCAACTATATTTACCTTCATCCTATCTCCCCTCCCCCACCCATTTATTCTATTCTGTCTTTTGACTCTGTTCCTCCTTAGAAGTGTTTGCTTCTGATTACCTCCACCCCCCATCTACCCTCCTTTCTATCATTCCCCCCCCTCATCCCTTTCCCCCCTATTTTCCTGTAGGGTAAGATAGATTTCCATACCCAATTAGGTGTGTATGTTATTCACTCCTTAAGACCAATCTGATGAGAATAAGATCCACTCATTTCTACTCACCTTCCCCCACTTCCCCTCCACTATAAAAGCTTTTTCTTGTTTGTTTTATGTGAGATTATTTACCCCATTCTACCTCTCCCTTTCTCCTTCTCCCCTTCTCACCCCTTAATTTTATTTTTAGATATCACCCTTTCATCTTCAACTCACCCTGTGCCCTCTATCTATCTATCTATCTATCTATCTATCTATCTATCTATCTATCT